CCCCCCCCCCCCGTTTGCTCTCTCCCTCCAGACCGCCAGGGTAGTGTGTTGTTGTCGAGGGCGACAGGCGAGGCGAGCGACACACTCGCGCTCCATCAACCGTCTGTCTTTAATGAGAGACACAGAAAGGCCCAGGGGACTGAGACCTGACTCTCTTTCTCTCTCAAACATAGACACTAATACATACAGTATAATTTGTGAGTGTAAGGAAAAGAGGAGAAAAAAAGTGATACGTTCCAAGAAAAAGGTAATTACAATACCACACAACTTTGCACCTTTGTTTGTTGTTGGAAAACAATATGCAAAAGAGTAGAATGAGATCAATTTGAAGATCTGGATGAAGAGCTGAAAGGAATGGGTTTAGAGATTGAGAGAAAGAGAGACAGAGAGAGAGAGCAAGAGAAAAAGAAAAAATTGGGTTATGTGTGTCCTGGCCTACACTCTCCCTCTGGTGTTCACCTGGTTACTCATCCATTACACAGAGCACAGTACATGACTGACTGACGGAGAGACAGGGCGCGAGAAGGAGAGAGAGACAGCAAGAGAGAGAGAGAGGGAGAGAAAGAGTGGGGTGTGAGGTAGAGAGACACAGACTGACTTCTTGCAGGGTTTTCCATTCTGTGGCATTAGTGTAAATGGGCAAGGTAATGAACACTGCGGCGGGATAATTGTCATTGATGGTCATTAGATTCACCCTTCAGTGCCAACACACGCGCGCGCGCGCACACACACACACACGCACGCGCGCGCCCATAGCTGGAATATGCAGCATGGCAGAGACATAACTAAGCTGTAATTACTGAAGTGTATCAATTAATGTGAACAGCAGCGTTTGCTGACCCCTGGTCACTCATTATTACTGAAAGCGAAAGAGGGAGGGAGTGAGAGGTGGAAAAAAAGGATGATAGTGGAAAGAAAAAGTGAAAAACAAACCACATTTATTGTGATGAAGGCGGTTTTGATTTCTATGTTCAGCAGTAATTTTTATTAAAAGCCCAAGCCGCAGTATCAATCTGTGGCAGTTCCCATGTTTTATCATAGAGCAAAGTGAAGTTGTGTGTACAGTAATTCTTCATATATGCATTTTACCCCAAAACATGTTGCCTCCCTCAGCTTTAAGCATGTGTACATGCATGTGTTCAGTTTGGTCCTGTTATGCAGTTTGAGCTTCTTTGTGTCAAACTGGCTCTCTGGATAAAACTATAAGTGTATGTGTGTTTGAGCTCTGTGGTCTCTTACTTTCACTGGAAGAAAATGTTCAAGTCACAGCAAAGTGATACTTTTTGGGAAAAGCCTTTCCACTCTCAGCTGGGCAATACATTATTTTAGTTTAGAAGAGCCTGACTGACCTGCACAGAGCCAACACCTCAACTACATATCAGCTTTACAACTAACAACACCAGGAGTTATTGCCCAACAGAAACAACATTCAACATCGTCATGGGAAACCTTCACAGAGAAATGAAGGATTCTCATAGTTCCCATGATTTGGGAATATAATGTTCAACACTCTGAAATGCGTATAATGTTTACATATCCACAATTCTGGATCATCTAGTGCAAGTCTGACTCTCAAGTAAAATAAAAGTGGGTGTAATACTCACGTCAGAGTAGTGTCCCTTCATGTTGCAGCGATGACAATGTCTGTTCCAGTATGAATTCTCACTGCAGGAATCATAAAGATGCCCTGGCAGGCCACAGTTTTTGCAGTGCCTTTTGAGACAGTCACGGGCTGGGTGGCCTGGAATCCCACAAAGAAAGCATGGCGGAAACTTCTGCACATACACACACAAAACATAGTTAGAACTTTATGTACTTATAAAAGTGCCATATGAGCCACTATGTGGTGATCAGGACTCACTTTAGGGTCAGGACAGTTCTTGGAGAGATGTCCTAAATTGTTGCAGTTTCGGCAGTTGACGTTCTTGTCAGTATAGTATCTGTTTGACACCCGCTGCACTGCTATCCTGACACCTTTTCTTTTGTTATAGATCTGAGCCTGAAAAACACAAGTTTAGTGCATTAATGACATCACGGTGTTAGTGTAAGGATCATGAAACTCCCAAAATGTAGCTATACAGGATATATAGCCACAGGGTTTAGTGCTTGGTGTTTGGTCGATATACCCTCATCATTCACTTTTCTGTCAGTTGTTGGTGTTAATTACACAAGGACAAAGCAGCTGCATCAATAGTTTTACTGGATGAACTCAATATTTTTGGCAGCTATGAGGAAAACAACTCATGCTACTGGGTCTAACTTACCGATGTTCACACTTAATAAATATATATTTGGAGTCAGCTGTTTGTGTGGCTGCATTTTATTAAAATTAAGCAATAGGTCACCAACATTAGGCTAACTAGGATATTCTATCAGCTTCAATGCTTAAATATTTGAGGCCATTTCAATACTTTTGCTATGACTGAGTCGTAGTTGGTCGAAACACACATTTTGTGTAATTTTTTTCTCTGTACACTACCACAGGGAATTTCACACTAAACAATCAAGATGGGACTGAAGGGATTTTACAGAAGTATTGCTTTAACTGTTTTCACTTTCATACGTAGTGCCCCAGATGCTCAAACATAATTGGACAACAGACTGAGCAGGCAGTTTCATGACCAGGTGGGGCCTGTTGTTATTTAATAATACATATGGAGCTGGTTTTACATGTTGAACTTGCATTAGGATTTTTTTTACCAGAACTCTTAATAATCATTTCAGTTTAAAATAACACAGTTAAAACTATACGAGTAATGCAAATACTAGCTTTTATGTTTATTTATAGTTGATTTTGATTGATAGAAACCAAAAACAAAGCGGCAACAAACAGAAAGCACTAAAAAGCTGCTCATTGCCACCCACCTCCTTGTCTTTGTCTGAAACCAACCAAGTTTCACCTGCTGCATCAGCATCTGGAAGAGTAGAAGAAAATACGTTTTAAAACAAATTTACAGGAGAAGACTATGCTAGGCTCTTATTTTTCTGTTATAAGGTTTATTAGTTATTCCTGAATGTAATACAAACCAACACAAAAAACCTGACATGAATTCATCAGTTACTGGGTAATGAGCACTTTAATACAAGAAAGTAAGTGAACAATTACAATTTGCAAATTTTAGAATAACAAAGGGATTGTAGTTACCAAGCATAACATGTTCACACACACACAAGTCGTGAGCCATGGTTTTTAAGAGTGCCTAAAAGCAATTACAATGGATGATCATCAGAGCTGCATTCAAACGTGCGGCTGTATATGACAAATGAGTGAGGAAAAACAAGAGGAAAATATCGTTTTTGAAATCTTTTCTCACAGTAACATTAAACAACAATTGGAACAAATATTTGATAAGAACTGATAGATTCAAGTGTCTAGATCCCACCCCAGTAGGAAACCCTGAGGAATAACTTTAGTTTCCTGTAAGAGAATGGTATGCATGCACACACGCACACACAAACACACACACAGAAACTGACACAGTCGCAGCCCAGCACATCTGTATGAGAGTGGCACTAACAGCACCCTGAGGGAGGCCGCTGTATTCTCCTCAGGCCCACAGAACTGTAACTGACATCCAGAAATCGTAACATACACACAAACATACGCGCAGAAACACACAGACATGTGTATTCGGCATAAATTATGTTCTGATAAGCAATGACCCACACAAGCTGGCATGTTTTCACACACACGCAGAAAGTCACACCCATCCGTCGACCCCTGCGATTTCCTGGTTGACAGTCTTTAGCTTTTAGACAAATATACAGCCTTGAGCCATAATCAAATATTCCACACTCCTTTTTCACTACTCTCGTTTGTTCTTTCTTTTACTGACTCTATCCAGCCCCTTATCGCTATTCTGCTCAGCCCTCCCCTTCCTTTGCTTTTGCTCTCTCTCTCTCGTTGTTTTCTACCTCTCTTTCCCCCCCACCTTTCCTCCCCGGGTGAGCGGCTACGGAGGGAGGTTATCACCTCTCTTCCCTGTCAAACAAATTAAAATGGCTGCTGTTTGGATGGGGCTTCTTTCTGCCACGACCTTCACCTCCAAAAAAAACAAAAGCAAGCAAACAAAAAACCAATGCAAGCAACCTAATGTCATCACATAGGTAAGCTTGAAATTTTGACTCAAAATCACCTGATGGTCCTCCCATAGCTGATAAATTTGGAGAATGACCTGTAAAGATGTTGGTATTACCTTATACCTATCATCTCTAAAAGGAAAAATTACCCCAACAGACAGATGTTGTATTGCATCTTCTTGCTATATATTTATGATGCAGTGGTCAAATGTATATAAGGTGTATAGCAAAGTGAATGGAAATAAGTTAATTTAGGATGAAAAAGAAATAACTCAAGTGAAAATGGAGAAAGGAGCAGGCAGAAGCAAATCAGAAAGTTAATTAACTGAACTGACACGCCTGCTAAAATTGAATGATAATGTATCGGTTTCCCTTTTTAGGGCTTTTTTTTTCTCCTCAAATTACGCAGTTATCATCCACCATCATAGATGATTCCCAAAAAGTTGATTCTGTTCATCTGGACGTAGCCTTTTCAGAGGGTGAAACGTTTTGTTAGGCATCCAAGTGACTTCTTCAGTCTCAGCTGACTGCAGGTTTCTCCAGCCTTATAAATGGAACATTTGCATAATGACTGAAACTAACACCACTGACAAAGAATGGGCTGTCAGGTCAGTTTCTTGATCATTAATATGTAAATTGTCATGACTACAGATCACCAAATACTGATCAATGAACACTGATCAATGGCCATGAGTATGATTCACAGAGTTGGGTAATGGCTGCAATCACAGCACTGAAAGATGGTGAAAGATGTAGGCCTCCTTCTCAATTAGGAGATGATCTTTCCTTTTAAAGTAAACGGCCACCTTGTCTCCCCGCAGCGTTCCTCCCTGTCCAGGATGTGTACATGCTCATCATTGAAAGAGTGTCCACTGGCTTGTAGGTGTGAACAGATTGCGGAATCCTGGCCTTACAAGTTAGCTCTTCTATGTTGTGCCATCCGCTTAGCTGCAGGTTGTTTCGTTTCCCTGATGTATAAATCATGGCAATCCCCCGGCACACCGTGTACACCGTATTACTCTGTTTGTGTCGGAGGACCAGCTCCATCCAAAACCGTATGTTTTTCTCTGCTTGGGTGAGTTTTTCACCCTTAGTGTGGCATCCCTTCTCTCTTCTGGCTGCTTCTTCCCCAACCTTGTAAACAGTACATTTGCAAAATGACTGAAACTAGCACCACTGAATGAACAATGGGCTGTGAGGTCAGTTTCATGACCATGACCATTAATATGCAATGATACCACTGATCAGTGGTCATTGATCAAGCATGTGGGATAACTGGCAGTGAGTCTTTCAAATCACTATAGAGCAGTTGGTCCTCTCTTTTTTTTGCAGAATTGGAGGTTTTTCAGGCACTAATTACCTGTTTAGGGTAATGTCATAGCATCTCAACTAGATTTAAATCCAGACTTAGATTAGGCCACTCCAAAGCAGTCTTGCTGGTGGACTTGGTGTATTTCAGGCCATTGTCTTGACACATAACCCAAATGTGGTTATGTGAGTTTCAGGACACAAACTGATGTCCGGACATTCTCCTTCAGGAATTTTCTGATAGAGAGCAGAATTCATGATTTCATACTTTATGGCAAGTCATCCAGATCCTGAATCAAGAAAGCAGCCCGAGCCCATCACACTACCATCACCATGGCTGCTGGTATGATGTTCTTTTTATGAATTGCTGTTAGTTTTGTGCCATAATGGGACTCAGCCCTTCTGAAAAGCTCTATTTTTGTCTTGTCAGTCCACAGAATATTTTCCCAAAAGTCTTCAAAATGTTGGGGTCATCAAAATGTTGATGACCCCCAAGACTGTAAGACAAATGTGAGACAAGTCTTTGTGTTCTTTTTGGTTAGCATTGGTTTTGTCCTCAGAAATCACCAGTGTATGCCATCTTTTCTTAGTCTCTTTGTGATTATTGAATTGTGAACTTTGACTTTAACTGAGGTAACTGAAACGTGTAGTTCTTTAAATATTGTTCTGGGTTCTTTCGAGACCTTTTTGATGAGTCACTGTTATTGGAGTAATTTTGGAACACCAGACACCCCTGGGAAAGTTTGCCGCTGTTCCATGTTCTCCCCATTTGTGGATAATGGCTCTGTGGTTCTCCCAAAACCTCAGAAATGGCTCTGTAACCCTTTCCAGAATGATAGATGCCAATGGCTTTGTTTTTCAGATGTTTTTAAGTTTAGATCATGCCATAATGTGTTGCTTTTTAACATCTTTTAGCCTATTTCACTTTGTCAGACAGATTCTATTTAAATGACTTTTTGATTCAACAGATCTAGCAGTGATCAGGCCTGAGCGTGGCTAGTTTTCCAAAAAGTGTGGTTAATCACATTTAATTTGTGATTTGGAAAGTGGGCAATTACTTTTATGATAAGGCCAGGTAGGTTTAGATAGCTCCTTTCCCATAATAAATAAAATAATCATTCAAAAACCACATTTTATTTTACTCAGGTTATCTTTGTCCAATAATAAAATTTGATTAATGGTCGGAAACAATTAAATCAAGAAGGGGACAAAAACATTTTCCCCATATAGTAACTTGATTCATTGGTTAGCTGTTTCTATAAATACAATGAAAAAGCCCAAAGTAATGCCTAATATTAAATTGTCTGAAGAAAACAGTTTTTAAGACATCAAGTAAAAAACTAAATAAAGGCTCATCCTGAAAAAGCTAGAAGATACCATTTTTATTCTAATTTATCCATTTCACAGAATAGCGTTTCTATCAGTTAATCAATGAATCCACAAAACTATTTCAGCTCTGCTGGGGGTGGGGAAAGTACAGCGACAGATGACTGTTTAATCTTCTGGTTTGCTTTTGTATATTCACTTCAGGTTTTGAGTATTTACATTTATTATGTGTGTAAGCTGTATCACATTGTCTCTGTCTATGCACATCACTTTGCAGTAACTTATATTAAACTGTAGTAGTTTAGGGTGGGTGTGATGGTGGTGGTGGGGTGTACTGATCTAAGTGTGAGCATACTGGGGGGCCTCTGTATGAAGAGCGCATGTGTGTCACCGGTATCCAGCAGTCAATGGGGGGAAAAAAGGCAGGGGTGAAAGGTGTGTGCATGTGTGTGGTGTGTGTGTGCATGTGTGTGAGCAGGCGTTAGTGACTCAACGAAAGTCATTCCCAAAGCGTCTCCCGGGGGGACTCCCCAAATAAAGAGCAGGAAGCTT